GTTGTTGTTATTGTTATTGTTGTTGTATTATTGTCATCTATAATTTATATAATTAATCTCCCTATGGTTCGATCTTGGTCTTGTCGGGTTATTTATTACTTCGATACTCCTGCACTTGGGAGAAGACATTAATTTTTTAGTCGTATCATTAGACTATGAAGGCTGGTTGAGCAAGAGGTTTTAGCCACCAATTGCAGCAACTACAAGGTTGCAAACTAGCAGGGACAAGGCTGGATAAGTAGAGTACGATATCAGGGTGTGAGAGTGATGTGTCTTTTTTATCTTGTTTAGTAAGGGGATGAAAGAGGATAAAGGCCTAAAAAGTGGTATCATATGCAGCTTTCTCGAGTTCTTTTTAAATAAGATGAATAATGACAAAAAAGATGAACATTTAAAATCTCTTATTGATTGCTCGTGTTTTGTAGATCTTTGTCTATTTTTTCATTGTTAGCCTCCATAAGAGTTTTATCATTAAAACTCAAATGTTGAACATTTTCATTAATTCATCTAGAATCTCAAATATTTTATTATTTTAAGTTTCCTCAAATGTGACATGCATATATTTCTCAAAACAAAGTGTTTTATTATTATATACTTCATAAGCCTTGCTTGGTGAGGAATAACCAAGAAAAATATCAACATCGTATTTTAAATCAAACTTATCCAAATTATCTTTGGTGTTAACAAAAAAATATTTTGAATAAAAAACTTTAAAATATGAGATGATGTGTTTCTTACCTGTTTAATTATGAGTCTTTTTCAACTCTGATCTCAAAATAACACGATTTAAAATATGACAAGATATATTTTATGGATTTTGTATAAAAACATTTAGGGGTATCAAATTCATTTAACATTATTGTTGCCATTTCTTGAAGAGATATATTTTTTCTTTTTGCAACCTCATTTTGTTGGGGAGTTCTAGATGTTAAAAAATTATGATGATATCTTTTTTTTTTTTCATAAAACATTTCAAACAAATCACTTATAAATTCATTATTATGATCGTTTTTATGTTTATGATTGAAAAACCTTTTTCATTTTAAATTTGTTTTGAAAACTTTATGAATTTATTATTTTTTGATTTTAAAAATGAAACTCATATATATTTTATAAAGTCATCCACAATCACAATACAAATATTTATTACCGTTTATGCTTTTAGTACTTGTTAGTCCAAATAGATCTATTTATAGTAATTCTAAAGATATTTCAATAAAAATGTGATTCTTATTCTTAAAAAATATTTTTACTTGTTTATATATTTTACAAGCAATACATAATCTTTTCTTTTTGAATGTAATACAAGAGAGTTCTTTAACATGTTTATTTGATCATTTTTTTAGAATTTAATTTCTCTATTATTGTTTTTTTTTCAACACCTAATTCAAATAAAACAAATTTATTTAACCTGTATCATTCCGGTCATGATTTTTTTTTTAAAGCTTTACAGCACCTTAAACATGATTTTTATTAAAAAAAAAAGGAATATGCAGGTCCACAATTTGTTTTATAAACTAATCAATCTGTATTTTAACTTTTGTCTAAAAGTCATAATTAGCGATCTTTAGATTTTTTATGCCATAACATGTGAACTTTTCTTTTATATATATATTGGAATTAGATTATTTTAAAACAATGCTTTAAACAAGTTACCGGAATTGACATCCACGTTTGAACTAGCATGTTCGTTGTAAAATTATTTTTCAAGCATGTTACAGAGAAAAATTACTAAATATTTTCCACAATTAAAAGTAATTTTCAACAATTTTAAAAACACACGCAGTTCATATCGATTTATGTATTGAAAGAAATAAGCATTCTTATGTTAATTTTAATATTTTATTTAGAAAAAGTTTAAATCCTATTTATTTTTATATTTTAAAAGTATTTTAAAAAATAATTTTTTTATTTTTTATTTTAAATTAATATTTTTTTAATATTTTTAAATTATTTTAATATATTGATATCAAAAATAATTTTTTTAAAATAAAAAATATTATTTTAATAAATTTTCAAATAAAAAATATTCCCACTAAATTTACAAAAAGAAATTGACAAATGTTTCTGCACCAGACCTTTTGTTTTCGACAGAAAAGGACGTGAGGATGCAGTCCAGTTTCTAAATTAGAGAAAAAAAATAAAAAAAAAGAACAACATCTCACCCCCAAACAGGAGCATCAGATCTTCGCCTCCGGCTCGCTTCATATTTGATTCATGACTTCCAATTGACTACTCCCTCTATGAGCGCACAGAGTAAGAAGTGCAAAAGAGAAACCAAAAATAAATAATTAAATAATAATTTTTTTTTCTCCTCTAAGCAATGTTGAGAAGAGAACCATTTCTCTGCAAACTCATCTTTTTGCTCTTCTGTTTCGCTTCGCTCTCACTCGCTGACGAACTCAACAAGTCACATCGGCTCGAGTTCACCGCTAACACTTCAATCTCTAACACCTCTCTCTCTGAACCTAGAGAAGGCAGCAGCTTCGCTGATATCATCGATAAAGCTCTCGAGAAAGAGTTCACTGAAAATGACCAAAACGAAGGTTCGTTTTTCTCGATTTTAGGGTTTAGTTCTTATATTTTGAGTTGAAGAAGTATTAAATCACTCTTAATTCAGTTAACTATTGTTGTTGATTTTTTGTTACTAGTTAGTTCTTGAGATTCGTTTAGTGTCATTTTGGTGAATTGTACTTTATTGACGGTTGATAAATAGAGGATTAGATCTTGCCTTCTTAGACTCATTTTCAAAATCTCAGAGTCGAAAACGCCATGGAATTTTCAGTCTTATTGAGAAATTTTGCCCTTTAAATCTTATTCAATTTTATTTCTTAGGCTTGGTACGATGCTATAGTGACCTGCATTTTAGATTGAAGGCATATGACAATAGAGTAGAGTCGAACAATTCATTTTGTACTGGAATTCTGCTATGTTGGTTATTGTTTGCGCAAAAGACGAATCACTGGAGCTTTGCATGCTTATTTATAACATCTAGCTAATCATGGTTCCTCCCTTACCTATTTTGTCTTATCGGCAGCAACTGATGCTGGAAGCTTCAACAACAGCGTCGCAGAACAGCAGGTTGGTTGTGTTTTATTCTTCTCAGATTTTGAAGCAACTGATTTAACTCTATTGAAGCAATTAGTTTATGGATGTAACAGGGATTTATTCAACACAAAATCAGTGATTGAGGCACAATGTAACTTAAGAAGTCAGATAATGCCATTCTTTTTGTTTCTTTGCAATGGTTTAATTAGAATTCTTTAACTAATTCATGCTTTTATAATTCCTATGAATTATCTGAGATTCTGATCAAGTCTTTTCTAATTGAAAAAATACACCATGACAAGAAACACTCGCAATGGTGGTTTTCTTCTCTTCTCTTGTATTTATTTTTATTTTTGTTTTAATTATTTTTTGTTCATCATAAATTTGATCAGTTGCATTAAAAAAAAGTCTGCTTGATTTTGAGCTTCTATCTTTCCCCTTGTTTGAATTCATTTGGAACAATTTTTTGCTGAACATTTCTTCTTGATACCTTTTGTGTTGCTCAGGCAGTTTTGGAAACTGTTGCTAGAGTTAAATCGAAGAAAAATGACTCAAAAGAGGAAAAGTATAAGCTTCTGTCTTGTAAATTAGTGGCTTTCTTGTTTATTTTTTGATGTTTAAGTTGGTTTCTGCATTTACTTGGTATATATTGTTGGTGTATCATTTGAAACAATTCTCTCGTGAATCTCTTTTTAGGTTGTTTAAATTTCAACATGTTTTCAATTTGGACAATGATAATGGAGCAGAAGATACCCCAACACTGATTGATCGAAAGGTATCATTGTTTCATGGGAAGCTTTCCGGAGTTGGTGGCATTATTAGTATTATACTTGCTAAATAATTGTTTGTTTCAGGATAATGTCTTCATTATATCCAATTTTAAATCAAAATATCCAGTGCTGCAGCTAGACTTGCGGTGAGTGTACTAATCTCTTATATGTGATGCATTTTATTTCTCTTACTCAGCTGGTAATCAATCTAAAATTGTTGCCTTGTAGATTGATATCAGATTTGGTTGTCGTCATTGTATCTGCAACTTGCGGTGGCATTGCATTTGCTTGTGCTGGACAACCGGTCTGATTATATTTGATCTCTGCTTAGTTCATGACTCACTGCATTGCTAGGATATAATTCAATGTCTGAGCATTCCATTTCGTTAAGTTGTACCATCTTATCATGCCACTCTTATATCAGTTTCTAATGGTAAATTTTTGCAGGTCATTACTGGATACTTGCTAGCAGGATCTGTTATTGGTCCTGGAGGGTTCAACTTTGTCAGTGAAATGGTTCAAGTATGTAGCATAGATGTGCATTCCTCTGCCAGTTCCCCTAAAACATTTCTGAACAATTCTTTCTTTGCCTTAGTGCTCTACTTTAATATATTAATGAGACAGGCTCTGAATGCATAATGTAGCAGTAATAACAAATGGATTATTTTGTGAAGATTATTTTAGTCTTAAATCCTATAGTTTTGATAATTCACCTTTACCATATACAGTTTTAACAGAGATTGTTCTTTACATCAAAAAGTTCCCAAATGATTTGAGGGTATTAAATATAGCTTTTGCAACCAGCAGTTAAATGATTGACCTCTGTCATAATTGCAGCTGTAAACAAGATACCATATTATCTTCTTATGATGTTTTGCAAACACAAAATAACAAATTTCCAAGCAATTGTTGCAATTTTGTAATTTTAATGGCATAGCTTGCCATGTTATTGATGTTAATTTTCTTCGACCAACTTCACAATTGACTTGTTTTTAACGCATGCATGCCAGGTTGAGACGGTGGCTCAGTTTGGTGTAATTTTTCTTCTTTTTGCCTTGGGCCTGGAGTTCTCGACAACAAAGGTCTGTTTTTGACCTTCTTCTTCTTCTTTCTTATTTTTTTTTCATTAAAATTATATCTAAAATTCATCCTCTTCAATTTCAGCTTCGAATTGTCCGAGCAGTTGCTGTTGTAGGCGGCCTGCTTGAAATTATTTTATTCATGTTCTTATGTGGCATTACAGCCATGGTATGATAATCTACTTACTGTTTCAGAAATTATATGCAATTATATTGATGAGTTTCCCTTAACATGTGAAGACCACTTTTACCAAATCACAATTTAAATGAATGACAGTTATACAAATGATCCCATACTCAATACAGCATTAACTTCTTTTTTCCCATTCTATAGTTTATGGCTCTTGGATTTTGGTATCAGGCTTTGACCATGCTGACTGTTATAATGTCACCATACCACTTTCATACCCAGTGGAGTAATGGGATTGGAGTTCGAATATGCATGATGGTTCTGAATTTTGTGCCTGTGGTAGTTGCTGCATGGTTTCATTGTAAAATTGGATCAAATGTGCATCTTTTCTATCACAATGTTTCAAAGTTTTAATTCTCTTTTAAACCCACTGGCAGTAAAATCTATAGTTCTTACCTGCCATTGTGGTGTATGCACAGTGGAGGTATTGTATTGGTGGTTTTGCTGCAAAGCATGTTGCATTTGTAATTTCTTGATATGTAGGGTATATTGCACACAGCTATTCATTCTTGATGTTGCAGTTCTGATTGAATGCTGTTTGCAGTTATGTGGTGGTAAGTCTTCTGAGGGTGTGTTTGTTGGTGCATTTCTTTCAATGTCTTCAACAGCAGTGGTAAAAACCTTATCCAAATGTGTCATGAATCATTTGGACTACCTTTCATCATAGAATTTGTGATATAACACCATGATCTCAAAGGTGCATGGTTTGGTGCAGGTATTGAAGTTCTTGATGGAAAAGAATTCTACTAACGCTCTTCATGGGCAAGTTACCATTGGAACTCTTATTTTGCAGGTTGAAGTTCTTTTCACTCATTCTTCAATTCTCTCTTTTGTTTGTTGTGTTTCATTGTTGCTTTCTGGCACTCAACTTATCCATGTGAACTTTCCTTCTACCACTTGCATCTTTGGATTGTTGTACCTCTCAGGACTGTGCAGTTGGTTTGCTGTTTGCACTGCTTCCTGTTTTAGGTGGAACTTCTGGCGTTCTTCAAGGACTAATGTCCATGACTAAAGTGTAAGTAAACATTAATTACCTTGAGCTGTCAACTTTGTCCTTCAGAGTTAGCTTGCATACATGCATGCGTGCTCAGGCATATTAAAGCTGTTTATCTGTTATAATATGCTTACTCTTGTTTCCAGGTTGGTGGTGTTGATTGCATTTTTGGCTGTTCTGTCTATATTATCTTGTACTTGGGTTCCATGGTTTCTTAAATTGATGATGAGCCTGTCATCACAGGTACACATTTATTTGATAAATAAGCTTTTTTTTTTGAAGTTACTCTGCTGTGGGCTTTTTGAAAAAAATTGCGTACATGTGTTTTAGCTACATTGCACTTTTTATCAAGTCTGTAATGCATTTTTGTGCAGACAAATGAACTCTATCAATTAGCATCGGTCGCATTCTGCTTGCTTGTGGCCTGGGTATGTTTCATCTGCTTTTGTTACACCTCTACAAGTATTCTCTTCCATGCTTGCTTGCTATGTTTCATTTGGGTTTCTATACATGTAGAGAAATCAAACAGTTGCTGTGAGAGAGTTGTATTTTTGTTTCATTTGGATTCATATATATGTACAGAAATCAAACGGCTGCTTTAAAAGAGTTGTATTTAGAGCATTTGAACCAGTGAATTGCGATATGTTGGGCTTTAATTGTCCAATGTGTTTCATGATGGTGATGGAGTCTTGTATTATAGTTAAGCACATGAATAGAGATTGTTTATTAGGAAACGCTGTATGGTTTATAAAATTGTTGATATGCCATGCGTGGAAACAATACTTATTTGTAAGTAAAATAGTAGATCCCAGAATATTATTCCATTTTGAACATGGTTATTTTTCTAACCAAAAAATAAGATATTGGATCTCGGTGCGTTGGGCATCTGGTTTAGAGGGTTCCTTCAGAGGATGAGAATCCCAAAGATAGATGACAACTTAAGAGTGGTGTGTATCTGCATTGCACATACAACCATAGTTAATTGGGCTGTTATTGTTATTTGATTTTGGTTGCAGCTGATAATGCTTTGATGTGTTGCATTGCTTAAAGTCCTTACGTTCTCTGCTTCACTTTGCATCTTAAAGGGTTTCATGAAATAATTTAAGCTGCCTATCCCTGTCAATTTCTTTGCATTGCAGGTTAAATGACACTATGATCTCCTTTTTTTTTTTATATATATAATATTCCAGAGCAGTGATAAGCTTGGTCTAAGCCTAGAACTGGGTTCATTTGCTGCTGGGGTGATGATATCAACAACTGATCTTGCTCAGCATACACTAGAACAAGTAAGTGCATACGCTAGAACAAGCAAGTTAAAGTTAGTGTGCTATTTTGTCAATGGAAGTTGTGAAGGTGTATGTATTTGTATACTGTAATATATGCAGCAGCTGAGGTGATGCTGCAACCATGAAACACACTAGTGGTTCCTTCTCCTTTATTTAGTAATGTAAATATTTTTTTTACCGTCATGGGATTCTTGAAATTAGTTAGGCTTTCCATGATGGCACTAGAATCCAGCAATGAAATGCGACTCTAATCTGGCTGGTTAACTCAACTGAATTTGGACTTCTTGTTATTGTTGTTGTTTTCAGTAATGAATAGAGGTAATCCTTGTCTCATAGGTGTAGACAATGTTGTTTGTTTCTGCTAAATGAATACTAGACTGTATTTGGGGTGCTCTTCAGGGATGTATTTTGGAATAAGTAAATGCTATGGTGGATGTGTGAAACCGCAATGCTATATCACGCATTGTAATCGCAGTTCATCCTTGCAACAATAGTTTAATTTTTATTTTGTTGAAGCTTTTGACATTTGATATTTGTTACCAGGACCAGAGTGCTATCTCAGTCACTCCACTCATGAAGCTTGTTCGTTGTGCAGATTGAACCTATTCGGAATTTCTTTGCTGCTCTTTTCCTTGCCAGCATTGGAATGCTGATCCATGTTCATTTTCTCTGGAGCCATGTTGATATATTACTGGCATCTGTTATATTGGTCATCATCATAAAAACAGCCATAATCACTACTGTTGTGAAGGGATTTGGTTACAACAACAAGACAGCACTTCTTGTAAGATTTTGTGATGGCTTACTGGTTCTATTGCTTTCAAGAATACTGGTTGATGATTGAGGAAACCTAATTATATCATATAATGTGTAGGTTGGAATGTCTTTGGCTCAAATAGGAGAATTTGCTTTTGTTCTTCTTAGCCGTGCTTCTAATCTTCATTTAGTTGAGGTAACTGGTACTATTACAGTTTATCTGGAATTTTTTTTTTTAAATAGAGAACTCCTGGCTAAGAGAATTTTGTATGAACCATGTCAACTTTTATATTATTTATTAATGGTGGTGGTCCATGGTAATATTTACTGGAATTGCCCTTGAGTCATGCTGAGAGACTGGAGATTACGAGCTACTGCTGAGCTAACAAGCTAATAATTTGATCATTCTCAGGGAAAACTTTACCTGCTGCTTCTTGGGACAACAGCTCTTAGCTTGGTATGGCAATTTGTTTTACTTCAGTTTGTGGGCTTTACAGATGTGTTTGCCATTTGTTTTAGCCTGGGGTTTGATTTTCCCTAGAGCATTAACTGTTGGTCTCAAAAAACATATATATATTTTTTTTCGAGTTTAAGTTCTTGCATATAACTGCACGTTTAGATTATTCTTCTCTTCTAATAGGATGGTGAATTTTGCATCCACCACTTTTCAGTTTAAAATCCCCACTGCATGAAGTGAAAAGTGCAATTCAGACTGCAATTGTGGTTGATGCTTATTTTTACTCTGGAGATTGATTCGGACAAGGGACACTGGTTTGATATAATGGGGATATGTGCTACATAGTTGTGGCTTTTTATTTACTGATCTTTGTTAGAAATTTTTTTTTTGCACGTGGAAACAACAATTAACATGGGACAAGAAGTTACTGATACGCTTGCCATGCATCTTGAAATAAATGTGACAGTACAAGATGAAGTTCAAATGATGAACAAACTTTGTGTAGCCTAGTTGTGGCTGTCATTTAGAAGCTAGACCTGTGATTAGAGTAGGCAATGCTTTTTTATCCCCATTGTTTAAGAAGGAAGTTTCCGGTGGCATTGAGCTGCCAAAAAAGTGAACTGAGAGGAATCAATTTTTTTTGTCTGTCAGTATTTCAAATACCCGAGATGTGTTGAATTTACTGTTGCTGCACGCATTTAGTCAGATGTTAACTCGTGTAAAATACCTGCAGGTGACGACGACTCTGCTTTTCAAGCTAATTCCAGCTGTAATGCATCTAGGAGTGCTGTTACGGTGGTTCCCTCCTGACAGTGCAGTTGAGGTAAGCATTGAGTATGGGATTGTCTAGACATCAACTTGTAGCTGTTGGTTGGATTGACCGTCCACTTGTATTTAGTGGATCCCCTTTTTTTTTTTTTTTTTTTATTCTAGACTTGATCATGTGCTTATGACATCCAGGTTGGATCTAAAGGAGAAATCTTCCGATCAGACAGTGTTAAACAACGGATTAGTGTGTTGGTCGAAGTTCCTCATAACTCATGAGCTCCATACATACATGTCATAAAGTGGTACGTCAAGTTTATATGACTAGCACTCTGCTGCAGCCTTTTTTCACCCGTGCAGATCAAGTCTGTATTCCTTTTGGACTGGCACAGTTTTGAGTTCAATTTATATAGAAATTATTCTCCATGATTTTTTTGTTGTATCATATGTTGAGTCCTGCTGGAAATTACAGTCATAATTCATAGCAACCCATTCTTGATGTCTTACTAATTTGTAAAATGGACATGTGCATAGTGCATTTCCTTTTTCAATTTTAAGATTTTCCTGCAATCACGTTGGAAAAAACTCAGCTCAATGTCACGGCATTTTACAGCCACTGTAGGACAGATGTATATATTATGTTCAGAATTTCTTGGACAGTATCTCTTGAAACATTGACCTGGCTATGCAGAGCAATTTCTAACCTGAATTGTATGAAAAACAAAAAATTCAAGAAATTGGGTGTTATTTTGAATCTGTTTTTCTTTCCCAACATTGCAGCTCTTTTCTTTTCTTTTCTGCGTGCATATATATATATATATATATATATATTAATCCTTTCAAGTGCATAAGATTTCAGATCTTGTGCATGTCTTGCTGTTGGCTTTGCTCTCCTGCTCATCTCAAGTATGTAAACAAGAGAGCATTTAGAAGTTGCAATTTCGAGGCTTCTGATCGAGGGGACCAAAAGTCTTGGAATATCAGAGACTGGAGAGGAGCTTGAAATTGGTTGATTACCTGTCTCACAAGTCCAGGAGAAAGATCTTAAATCTTGTGGTAATATTAGCTGATCCTGTTTTAAAGCCATTCTTGAGTGGATCATCACATGAAGAGAGAGCTAGACTGAGTAGAGCCCACGAATTGGTGTGTCAAGCTTGACGAATGAAATCATGAACGAAGCCGTTAGAATTTAGCTCTAGTTTTAAGATTTGTGCTTCTTCGAATGCTATGCTATGCTATGGAGTAGGGGCTTTAAACGGTTTGGGCGATGCATTTACCACCATGCAAAATAGTAGAAGAAAAAGTAGAACTACGAAAACGAAGGACAAATGTAGAAAAAGAAATTAATACTGGATGTTGAAAACGATCACAACCGTTCGTTTATGTTGGGAGGGCACAGGTTTGCTATCATAACCTTCAGTATAAAAAGCTTCTCCTCATTTTCAATCCTAGCAAATCTGATTCTTTACATGCAAACCTCCTCTTGTCTCTCCTCATACCTACTTTGCTATTGTTTCTAAGTAACTTGCATATGTGATTTCTTCCTTTCGAATTTCATTTGCATATATTCGGCTTACCTTAGGTCCTTAAAGTTTTTGCAATTACACCCCGCTTATTATCATATTCATTTTCAAAATACTGTTAGTTAATTCCCCCTCTTTATATATGGATTCACTTCAATCATTATATGGTTAGTTATATGTTTATTTTGATTAACTTACACTTAAAACCTCCCATTGTTTGAGAGTGTATGTTTATGTAAAAAAATTGCATAATAACCTATCTATAGTTGTTAAACTTGGGCAACAAAAAAGCTTATTAATACGTATATAGTTGTTAAACTTGGGCAACAAAAAATTCTAAGATATTATAGATTTACCTTTATAATTGATTTAAAGTCAAAGTGTTGCTATAAAAACAAAAAATATAATTGATCTACGTGGCAACCTATCTTCACCATCGATTACCAGTTTCCTTTTTCTTTTTCTGACCACCCACCCACATCTTTTTCTCACCACTCTCTTCACCATCACTAACCAAACTCACTTGAACTAATCTTATTCTCAACAACCATGTACTACTTCCCTATCTCTTAGCAGCCTCGCCACAAGCCGCCCTACCACTTCCAACCACCTTTTCTCTCTATCAATTTTCATCGCAACTCAACCCATTGTCCGTCCAGTAACCTATCTTTCTCTTCTACCACTATTATGAACACAACACCTCCACAACCCTACCACATGAACCAACACCAACACATTAGCCAACATCATCGTACCAACGCAATACCTTTTTATTGGAATTAGCCACCATAATCAAACAACCATCAACTCCAATTGAACCAACATCCATTATATTTGACTCGTGCACCACATCTCCTAAATTGGCAAAATCCCCTTTATCCCTTTCTAGAGAAACAACCTCAACCTCACTTGATCTTAATTTCAGCCACCCCCATTTCAATTTAGGAATGAGGCTTTCAATTTAAGGGCTTTGGTGCTTCACTATGGTGATGACATGGTCGGATTAAACGAAACAAAGGAGAAAGTAGAGAAAAGGGAAGAGATGTTTGTGGTGATTGGTGAAGATAAAAAGAGACAAGGAAGGAAAATAAAGGAAAAAACAAAAGAAAAAGGGAAAGGAAAAAAAAAAGTTTGGGATATTTGGTCTTTTCATCAAATTTTAAAGCTAGTTTTAACTTTATATGTAAAGTGTAATTTTTGAAATGTGAGGGAAAGTTTAACAACGCAAAATCTTGAGAGATTTTAGCTAATTTCCCCATAAAAATAATCTATATTGATAAATATTTAGGTTGTATTGGTATAAATTGATTTAAATTATTTTTTTTTATCTAAATTTTTTACTTTATTTTCTCAAAGATAAATAAAACTAAATTTATTTAAATTGAAGTGATTAACAATTAAATCTAAATATTAGATCAAACGTTAAATTACAAAATACAAAAAATAAAATAGATATGTATTCAAATCATGTAAATAAATAAACTAGCATGCTAACAAAGGGATATTAAATAATTAAAATATGAATAAATAAAATCATATTTATTGAAGTGAAGATTAAATGGAACTATAGAAGATAATTGTCACAAGATCTGTACCATTCATCCTATAAAACAATTGTTAGCCAATTGGTGCAAGTGATAAATGCAAATGACCTCTCAGGATTCAACAATTGTACTATTTAACAGGGGTGATCAATTAGAGTATGGTTTTTATTAAAAAAATAATTAAACCAAATTATGTTTTAAAATCTAAACTAAATTGAAACCAGTTTAAACTGGCTGATTTTGGTTTGATTCAGTTTAGTTTTTTAAAATAAAAACTGGTTCAAATCAGTTTGGTTCTGTTTTGATTTGGTTTTCTCATTTTAGCTCGGTTTTTTTAGTTTAGCTTGGTTTTGGCTTTATTTTTCGGTTTGGCTTGGTTTTTTCTTTTTTCAGTTTGGGTTCGATTCGGTTTAGTTTTTTCAGTTTTAGATTTATAGAACATTGATTCGGTTCAGTTTTTTCAGTTTTAGATTTATAGAACAGAAATTGAATCGAACTGGCTGTTTTTTTTCATGGCTTGGTTTTTTTAGTTTTTTTATTTTTTTGATTTAATTAATTTTTTGATTTTTTTACTTACGTCTACTATTTAGTGTTGATTCACTTCAACATTAAGCTTGAGTAAACTTAAGAAAACCAACACTTTCTCTCTATACAAAAATAAAATAATCACATGAGATAGAAGAAGTAGAGAAAAATAACTTAGAAATAATATTTTCCTTTCCTTTATTTTTAATAAACCAACAAAAGCCTTTCTCGTTTATATATACCAGGTGGATTCCATTTTAATTAGACCTCAAACATGTCTAATAACCATGTCTAAAGGCTAAAATTGATTGACCAATGTACCGAGACATACATGAATATATAAAAAGAGTGAACTTGTAGGTCCTATTTTAAGAAAGATAGCTTTTTATTTTGAACCTTCCTTTACTTAACTAATTAATGAATATAATGTGTTGAACTATTAATGATTTTTTTTATATCAAAATAATAGTACTTACATAACTCTTTTCTTAAAGCTTTTTTTAGTTTTTATAATTATGTTTATTTTGACCTTAAACAATTTTTAATTTTACGAATGCTTTAGATAATTTATGCTTTTAAAATTCTTTAAAAAGACCATATTTCTCACTAATAAAAGTAATATTTCATTAAAAGTATTCTTCTATACTCCATTTAGTAAGTCAATAGATAAGAATCATTAAGAACATAACTCATCCTTTGCAACTAACATCTTTTTCCATCATAGAAATAAGCATAAAATTTATTATTTCCTAATGCTATTAAGAGTGTCATATGACTTAGTTTTTCTTTTGAATCTAAATTTTAGGATATTCAATCAACTAAGTAAAGTTATCATCATAACACTATTTCATCTTTAAATATTTCCTCGTTGAACTATATATAAACTCTCTTGTTAAATATTTAGTAAGTGGATCCATAATATTTTCTTTTGACCTTATATATCAATGGAAATAACTCCATTCAAGAGAAAATATTTAATGATAGTATATTTAGCAAGCGAATCCACCATATTTTCCTTCGACCTCACATATATATATGTCTAGATTTACTATTATACATGCTATTTTATATCTTTCTGATTGCTAACTAGGTGTTGTAATGGACACAAATCACTTGAATTGGTTTTGATCAATATGGAATTTCCTTTAATACATTTTAAAGCCATTCAATTTCCTTTATAGCTTTATCAAAAGCCATAAACTCTAATTCTATTATGGATATTAAGATGTATGTTTTCTTAGAGAATTTCCAAGGCATATATGCTTTACCAAGCATGAAAACATTTGGTAATGGATTTTGAGTCCTTAATATCATTTGTCCAATTCACATTGCTAGAACCCTTAAGTATCAATGGATACTGAGGTATATCTTAAATATTTAAGCATCATATTTATTACTTTCCAATTACTTACACCTAAATTATTTGTAAATTTACTTAGCTTACTAATCGAGTATGCAATATCTGATCTTGTGCAGTTCATAACA